TCTTTCCTCCGTAAGCCATGCGTGTTGTAAAAGTCAACTAAAATGCCGGGAACAATGGGCTAGTAACCCCTTTTCCTGTAAAGATTACTAAAAAGAATAAGAAGAAGAAAATTGTCAAAGTGGGAAGTCTGAATGTGCATGGATGTTGTGCAAATGATAAGAAAGAGATGATTGTGGATGTTATGAATGAGAGGAAACTGGATGTCCTGGCTTTAAGTGAAACAAAGCTGAAGGGGGTGGGAGAGTTTCAATGGAGAGGAATAAATGGGATTTAGGTCAGGGGTTTCAAATAGAGTTAGAGCTAAAGAAGGAGTAGCAATAATGTTGAAGGATAAGCTATGGCAGGAAAAGAGGGAATACAAATGTATAAATTCAAGGATTATGTGGAGTAAAATAAAGATTGGATGTGAAAAGTGGGTTATAGTAAGTGTGTATGCACCTGGAAGAAGAGAGAAGTGTAGAGGAGAGAGAGAGATTCTGGGAAATGTTGAGTGAATGCGTGGGGAGTTTTAAATCAAGTGTGAGAGTAATGGTGGTTGGGAATTTCAATGCTAAAGTGGGTAAAAATGTTATGGAGGGAGTAGTAGGTAAATTTGGGGTGCCAGGGGTAAATGTAAATGGGGAGCCTTTAATCGAGCTATGTGTAGAAAGAAATTTGGTAATAAGTAATACATATTTTATGAAAAAGAGGATAAATAAACATACAAGGTATGATGTAGCACGTAATGAAAGTAGTTTGTTAGATTATGTATTGGTGGATAAAAGGTTGATGGGTAGGCTCCAGGATGTACATGTTTATAGAGGGGCAACTGATATATCGGATCATTATTTAGGAGGCAGTGGAGATGTCATGTCTGAGAGCAATGTGTGGTGTGAATATAATGCAGAGAATTCGTAGTTTGGAAGTTAGGAGGAGGTGCGGGATTACCAAAACTGTTGTCCAGAGGGCTGAGGAAGGGTTGTTGAGGTGGTTCGGACATGTGGAGAGAATGGAGCGAAACAGAATAACTTCAAGAGTGTATCAGTCTGTAGTGGAAGGAAGGCGGGGGAGGGGTCGGCCTAGGAAAGTTTGGAGGGAGGGGGTAAAGGAGGTTTTGTGTGCGAGGGGCTTGGACTTCCAGCAGGCATGCGTGAGCGTGTTTGATAGGAGTGAATGGAGACAAATGGTTTTTAATATTGGGCGTGCTGTTGGAGTTTTGAGCAAAGGGAACATTTATGAAGGGGTTCAGGGAAAAGGCAGTCCGGACTTGAGTCCTGGAGAGGGAAGTAAAGTGCCTGCACTCTGAAGGAGGGGTGTTAATGTTTTCAGTTTAAAAAATGTAGTGTAAAGCACCCTTCTGGCAGACAGTGATGGAGTGAATGATGGTTGAAAGTTTTTTTTTTTGGGCCACCCTGCATTGGTGGGAATCGGCCAGTGTGATAAAAAAAAAAAAAAAAAAAAATAAAAAAAATTTTTTAGTTGTAGCTACAGTTAGAGTAAGAGGTAAAATGGGAAAAGAGGAAGGTGGCAACAACAAGTAAGGGGGGAGGTGAAAGTGTAAAAAACTAAGGGAGGAGGAAATTCGGGTGAGATATAAGCGACTATTTGGGAGAAAGGTGGGCTAGTGCAAAGATGGGTAGTGGGGGGGGTTGAAGAGGGTTGGAATAATTTTAAAAATGCAGTATTAGAATGTGGGGCAGAAGTTTGTGGTTATAGGGGGGTGGGGGCAGGAGGAAAGAGGAGTGACTGGTGGAATGATGAAGTAAAGGGTGCGATAAAAGAGAAAAAGGTAGCTTATGAGAGGTTTTTTTCAAAGCAGAAGTGTTATAAGGGAAAAGCAGAGTATATGGAGAGTAAAAGAAAGGGGAAGAGAGTGGTGAGAGAGTGCAAAAGGAGAGCAGATGATAGAGTGGGGGAGGCCACTGTCAAGAAATTTTAATGAAATTAAAAAAAAATTTTGGAGTGAGTTAAACAAGTTAAGAAAAAACCAAAGGGAAAAATTGGATTTTTCAGTTTAAAAAAAGAGTGGGGGAAATTTGTAAAAAGGGGGGGGGAGGGATTAGGGAATGGCAGAATTTTTTGAGGGGAAATTTTTTAAAAGTTGAGGGAAAAAAGGGGGGCGGTTTAAATTTTTTGGGACCCGGCCAGGGAAAGGGATTCCTCTTTTAGGATGAAGAAGAGCAGAAAAATTTAAATGTTTGGGGGAGGTACGTGAGGGATTTCGTTGAATGAAAAAGGGGGGAAAGCATGGAAATGATGGGTTCATGCAGAAATTTTTAAAAGCTGGGGGGGGTTTTAGTGTTGGGTGGTTTGGTTTCTTTTGTTTTTTAAAAAATTTTAAAGAAAGAGGGGGAAAAATACCTAGGGATTGGCGGGGGCATGTATATCCCCTTTTTATAAAGGGAAAAGGGGGGAAAAGAGATTGTTTAAAATTATGGGAATAAGTTTTCCCGAGTAAAACCCGGGAAAAATAAAAAGGTAGGGTTAAAAATTGAAAAAAAAAAAGAGGTAAGGGCAGAAAAGTAGGGGTTGCGGAATGAGCAGGGAGGCTTCAGAATGGGTAGGGGATGTGTAGATCAAGTGTTTACATTGAAGCATATATGTGAACAGAAATTTAGATAAAGGTAGGGAAGTTTTTATTGCATTTATGGATTTAGAAAAGGCATATGATAGAGTGGATAGAGGAGCAATGTGGCAGATGTTGCAAGTATATGGAATAGGTGGTAAGTTGCTAAATGCTGTTAAGAGTTTTTATGAGGATAGTGAGGCTCAGGTTAGGTGTGTAGAAGAGAGGGAAAATACTTCCCGGTAAAAGTAGGTCTTAGACAGGGATGTGTAATGTCACCATGGTTGTTTAATATATTTATAGATGAGGTTGTAAAAGAAGTAAATGCTAGGGTGTTCGGGAGAGGGGTGGGGTTAAATTATGGGGAATCAAATTCAAAATGGGAATTGACACAGTTACTTTTTGCTGATGATACTGTGCTTATGGGAGATTCTAAAGAAAAATTGCAAAGGTTAGTGGATGAGTTTGAGAATGTGTGTAAAGGTAGAAAGTTGAAAGTGAACATAGAAAAGAGTAAGGTGATGAGCGTATCAAATGATTTAGATAAAGAAAAATTGGATATCAAATTGGGGAGGAGGAGTATGGAAGAAGTGAATGTTTTCAGATACTTGGGAGTTGACGTGTCGGCGGATGGATTTATGAAGGATGAGGTTAATAATAGAATTGATGAGGGAAAAAAGGTGAGTGGTGCGTTGAGGTATATGGGGAGTCAAAAAACGCTATCTATGGAGGCAAAGAAGGGAATGTATGAAAGTATAGTAGTACCAACACTCTTATATGGATGTGAAGCTTGGTGGTAAATGCAGCAGCGAGGAGACGGTTGGAGGCAGTGGAGATGTCCTGTCTAAGGGCAATGTGTGGTGTAAATATTATGCAGAAAATTCGGAGTGTGGAAATTAGGAGAAGTTGTGGAGTTAATGAAAGCATTAGTCAGAGGGCAGAAGAAGGGTTGTTGAGGTGGTTTGGTCATTTAGAGAGAATGGATCAAAGTAGAATGACATGGAAAGCATATAAATCTATAGGGGAAGGAAGGAGGGGTAGGGGTCGTCCGAAAGGGTTGGAAAGAGGGGTAAGGAGGTTTTGTGGGCGAGGGGCTTGGACTTCCAGCAAGCGTGCATGAGCGTGTTAAATAGGAGTGAATGGAGACGAATGATACTTGGGACCTGACGATCTGTTGGAGTGTGAGCAGGGTAATATTTTGTGAAGGGATTCAGGCAAACCGGTTATTTTCAAATAGTCGGACTTGAGTCCTGGAAATGGGAAGTACAATGCCTGCACTTTAAAGGAGGGGTTTGGGATATTGGCAGTTTGGAGGGATATGTTGTGTATCTTTATGCGTATATGCTTCTAAACTGTTGTATTCTGAGCACCTCTGCAAAAACAGTGATAATGTGTGAGTGTGGTGAAAGTGTTGAATGATGAAAGTATTTTCTTTTTTGGATCACCCTGCCTCGGTGGGAGACGGTCGACTTGTTGGAAAAAAAAAAAATAGTAATAATAATAATAACGGTAAGGAGAAACTTCAGAAGGCTGCCAGCAGTTGGCACCACCATCAGCAAAACATTGGCAACTACTACTAGTACACTTTGCACCTGTTTAGACTTAAGTAGTCTTAAGTAGGCATTTCTGCTCGAAATGCCTCGGCAGGATAGTGGCTTTCTTTGCTCCAGTCATATTATGATGTGTAAACACACATTGTAACCTTTGCAAAGGAATATATATTTTATTTATTTATTTATTTAAGGAACCTCCCTTGAAGGGGAAGTTCGCATCCTGAAATTTCTTTTGTATCCTGAAGGAAAAAATCGACCGAACGACAGTTCGTATCCTGAAAAATTCGCATGGTGAGGCTTTTGTAACCCGAGGTTCCACTGTAGTGGTCTGTGTTGCTTAAGAATCTGATTTATTTGATTTATCTGATGAGAGGAAATTAAGCATCAGTCTTAATATTTTTGTTTTGGGAATCTTGGATATCCAAAAAAAATAGGAGCCATACCATATACAAATATTTATGTAGGCTTTTCACCATTTTTTTTAAAGATTATTTTAGATAATTTTTTTTTTCTTACCGGCCATCTCCCACCGAGGCAGGGTGACCTTAAAAAAAAATGAAAGTTTTTTTTTTTACATTAGTAATTTATACAGCTACTTGCTCCTGGCATTTTAGTAACCTCTTATGAAATGCATGGCTTATAGAGGAAGGATTCTTGTTCAGTTCCTCGTGGAGACAACACAAATATGCGAAAAGTATTTTTATTAGTGATATCACAATATTGTTACAATACTGTATTTTTCATAAATTTCATTTATGCATAAAAATGCATTCCTGATGCTGCCCATTTCAGATTTCTGTTTTTTATGCTGTAAATTCCAAATTTTTTACTTCTATGCTGAAATAAAATTTTAGGGTTTGATTTAGGAATGGAAAATTAGTAATAAAGCTGCTCCTCTCAGATGGCATCTCTGGCAGCAACAAGTTGGTCTAAACCTCTGCCGTTGGTCCCTTGTCTGTCTTGGAGCACAGCATCAGGAGTGTTCACTCAGGTCAGTTGTACTTTTAAGGCAAGGCTAATACTGAGTGGGCAATGGTATCACTACCACAATTCTTAAATAAAGTTTGAAATGAGGAACAAGTATAATTGTTTTATTGTGACTGTATTTATCCACTACTTTGACTGAATTTTATACAAAATAACTTACTTCAGACACTTCCTTTCTAATATTGTTTTAATGGGCTTGTGTAGTTATGCAAGATTTTTTTTTACAATTATGTTACATTCTCTTTGGTATGTCAATTACCTGTTGGTAATTACTTACCTGAGTTTGTATTGAATGAACTCTTGCACAAGATCCCACCATATTTACTTTTCTTCTTCTTCCAATAAACCGGCTGTATCCCACCAAAGCAGGGTAGCCCAGAAAGAAAAACAAAAGTTTCTCTTTTTAACTTTAGTAATGTATACAGGAGATGGGGTTACTAGCCCTTTACTCCCAGCATGTTAGTCGCCTCTTATGACACGCGTGGCTTATGGAGGAGGAGTTCTGTTTCACTTCCCCATGGAGATTAGAGGAAATAAACAAGAATAAGAACTACTAAGAAAATAGAAGGAAACCCAGAGTGGTGTGTATACATATGCTTGTACATGCATGTGTAGTGTAACCTAAGTGTAAGTAGAAGTAGCAAGACTTGCCTGAAATATTGCATGTTTATAAGACACAAAAAAGACATCAGCAATCCTACCATCATGTAAAACAATTACAGGCTTCCGTTTTACACTCATTTGGCAGGATGGTAGTACCTCCCTGGGTGATTGCTATCTACCAACCTACTACCTAAAATATTTATTTTTATTTAATTGACATGCATCTCAACTTTTAGCTAACATGATTTAGTTGTACTAGAATTCACACATCTATGACAAGAGGCTGCTATTGCCGTTGTATCATTGATTACCTCATTGAAGTTTCTGTATGCTGCTCCTACACTGAAGTATTTTCTATCATCGTTTTGACTTGAACATTTTATGTCTATTTGTCTCTCCTAGCTATGAATCCATTCCTGATAGAATCTGTAATTGTCAGTCATGTCTATTTCATGGAGAATTTTATATATTATGATCATGTCACCTCATGCTCTGTATTCCTGGGTCAAGTGATAAAACTGACAGTGTTCTCATAGCTCAGTCCTCTCATGTCTAATACTGAGAAGTCATACAAATTCCAAATGTACTTGTTTTGTTAAATGCAGAATTTATATCATTGCCTCTATCAGTATTTAGCTTTGCCTTGTATTTTGTGTGGAATTTCACAAGTTCTGAGAATGGTGAGGTTTTATGGCTGTGCAACAGATGCAACTTTTCATAACCACTTCCACAGCTATGCTGAGAGGTAAGAGGGTATCACAAATGTTTTGTTGTTCAGAAGTAACCAAATAGGTGCATTTCTTCAGATGGCTTCAGCAGCAGCAATCGGCTGGCATAAGCCTCTTGCAGTCGTCCCTTGTCTCTCATGGACCACAGCCTCTCAGTGCTTCACTCAGGTACCTTATTTACTCAAGATCTCTTTTATAATTCAATGTTGTCAGCATTATGTGTTCTGAGGAAGTTTGCAGGCATAATACAGTATAATCTTATCTCAGCTGTAGTATAGGTTTCCTTAAGATACATACATTTAGGTAGCAAGAAAGGTAAATCCCATATGAATGAAAAATAAGATACTACAGATTTCTCAGGATCTGTATATTTTGGCATCAGTCAGAGATCCTCTTCAGCTGATTGAGGCTGAAATATATAGACCAATATCATTTTTTTTCTGTCACAGTGTGATATTGATCTCTTTTTATGAGACTTGTATCACAACATTTAGGTAGATATTTATAGGTATATTTTATCAATGTGACTATGAAAACGGTGAACATTGCTGAGATTAAGGTAGTGACAGTGAAAACAGTTTAAAGTTAAGATTCATTATTCATCCTAGTTGTTTGTGGGGAAACAGTTCTTGTATTGGCCTCATCAGATTTACATATGGTCTTATGCAAGACTTGTCAGATGTTACTGACAGTTCAACATCTATTGAGAGTGAGCATGCCAGTTAAATTTTTGACTTTTCTGTCAGTGCCCTGATATGCTTGCACTTTCTCTTTATTAACTGTTCACTTAAATTACAACCTGTAAAACAGACATTCAGCTGTTATATGCAGAAAACTGCATTTTCAAGTCTTAACCACATTATCATAAATTTTTGAAATAAGAAAAGGACTTTGTGGATACCCTACATAATGTATGTATTGTACAGTATTCCAAGACAGACATTCTGTATTGCTTCATGAGAAACTGAAGGTATGTGGATGTCTTCCATGTTTTGTAATGTTTATAGTATACAAAATTCTTTAAATATTTTGTTCAGTTGCCAAAAAGATTACTGTTTTGTAATGCAATATTATTATAGTTTAAAAGTTTTGGCCTGTGTTGGAAAATTTGAATGAGAAGGAGACACAGCATATGTAGAATAATGTAGAGGGCACTTTAAAATAACCTACATAGAAGAAGTAAGAGATATATTTAGATTATGCTTTAACCCTTTTGGTATCAGTCCCATTATATAATAGCTTTGAAGCCAGTCTCGGTCCCGTAGTTACTACACCATGAGCTCAACTCATTCATATAAGCCCTTTTAGTGGTAAAATTAGGGCCTAGATAGGAGAGAATTGGGTCTGTGTGGTAAGTGTGCACCATATAAGAAAAATCCTGCAGCACAGTGCATAATGAGGAAAAAACTGCGACTGTGTTTTTGGGTTTAAAACAGAGACTTTGTGGTATATTTTTTGTTTGTTTTTTATGGGTATACTCTCAGTTTCCTGCTTTCATTTGATTTGAATGGAAGATATATTACAGAAATAGAGATGATTTTGATTAGTTTCAAAACTGAAAGTAGCTTGAAATTGAGCTCAAAAATAGCAGAAATGTTCGATTTTTGCCGATATTCCAGAGTACACATATGACATGACTTGTCCACTATGCATCCAAGTGGCCAGTCTAATATTCATTTACGAATGCACTGACATTATTTATACAATTATTACAATAATGCAGTAGTCTGCATAACAGTAAATCTTCTATTTTTTTGTGTGAATAAATGTTCAAAATGGAAAGTTAGTGTAATATAAGAAGGGCCTGGAGACATGACTAATGAACAGAGGAAATGTTTTTTAGTGCCAGGAATGTCTACATTGTTTATTCTGGACCTTACATTGTTTATTCTGGACCTATTTTTAAATTGGCAATTTTTGAATTTTGTGTGACACTGGCCAAATTACCAAGTTCTGATCACTTTATTTTATTGGGTAGTCGAAATAGGTAAATGGGTGGTTTCTTTACTTAATCGATAGAATGGAAGGATTAGTGAAATTGCTATGAGTTTGGTCAACGGGAACAATGGAATTAGCCAAATATAGGGTGCAAAGTGGGTGAAATAGCTGATGCATAAATATCGTCGAGACCGCTAACTTTGTGAGAATGTAATTCTGTAAGTTTTCCTTCAGATTTCATACTTTTGGTTTCATTACTTTTGGAAAAAAGATTCTCTACCATTTCATAAGATTTTTTTTTTTTTTTTTTAAATTTTGCTACCCTGAGAGCAAGTTTGAGACCAGGGGTCGCAACCCTAAACGGGTTACCTGGAGAGTTTTTTTTTTTTTAGGGGGGGAATTAAGGGCACACTATCAAGGCTGTAACAATTCACTCTTAACCCACAATCTGGAGAGGAAAGTAGATGTTATTTTGGTCCATCCTAGACCATTATTATATCCCATGTAACTTGATAATAGTCCAAGACAGACTGAAATGTTATATAAAAAATTTTATCTACAAATTGTGGAGTAATTGTGTCAGTCCAACATATAATATTTTATTATGTAGCAGTTATATTGGTGGTAGTGAGCTGCTCCAAGATATATAGCAGAGGTAATAATGTTGATCATTTGTCCAATAGGGTGTACTGAGTGGAGCCATCAACTGGGAGATGCTCAAGAACCAGTATTTCTCCAATGAAGTCTTCAGAGAGGACCTGTTTAACATGATTCAGTCTCCTGAAGGGGTAACTTGCTTAGATTATCACTTCATTAGTTGTCAAGCAGTTAGCTTAGACACTAAAAAGTGTAACTTAGATATAAATATTTACTGTTTACTACCAAAATTAGATACTGTGGAATTCTTACATGCAGTCTTTATAATTAATTCTGGTTAATTTTGCTGTCTGGTCCTGAGTATTAATTACAAGAATTGCTAGTAAGGGAACTGTTATTCCTGGGAGCTTCATAAGTTGTAGTAGTAGTCCTGCTATATTTACAGAATAATTTGTTAAGTGCATTTTTGATGGTGACTTTTAGTGAGTGATTGTGAGAGAAACAGAATGTAATTTGTATTAATTACTTTTTTTACAGCATTTTCCAGTATACCATGAAGTTGGACTGAAATTTGCTCGGGACTTCCCTGGCAGCTTATCCCATGTAGAGCGACTGATGGAAGATCAAGGGCAAGAGCGAAAAAGTGCCAAAGTTTGTGAAAATAGCATTGACAAAAATGAAAAAAATAATAGTGGGGTGATATCTGATTCAATAGATGCTCAAAGTACAAGAAACATTAGCAAAATGGAAAGACCAGATACCATCTCTCAATATTATGCAAACACGGTACACAGTGTTGCCTCCAGTGGTGGCCCACTTAGTATCAGTCTTTCTCTTCCAAGATTCAACATTTTACAAACACTTGGCTTTTCAAAATTAAAAATTGGTAAGGGACAGTCATCACAGGATAAGAGTTCTGTATCAAACAATGTTCTTGTTGGATTTAGAAATACAAAGTCAAAAATATCAAAACCAATTCATGAACTTACACCAGTGGGGATCAGACCCAAGAAATCTATGAACACACGGACTGTAAAATTTGAGCCCTACATGCAAGTAAAAGATACGTTAACTTGGGAAGCAGTGCAGTTCATGCGTGGAGTCATGGATGAGTGTACACACTTGGGTAACTTCAGTGTGCCTGTCGACCCCTCGTTGGTGATTATTGTTGCTGCTGAAAATGATGGGTAAATATTTTGCTGCACATACACATATATATACCCAGAATAGGCGAGTCTTTATCAGCAAATTTTGCCAAGAATGCAAAACAGTTTTGGAGAAAGATTAATAAGCTGAGAAAGGCAAGGGAGTAAATGGATTCAGATTGTTAAGAACTAGATATATAATTATAGAGAGTTATCAATACAGCAGATTATTTATGCAACCTTTCAAAAATGCCACTAGTTAGTAAACTAATGAAGAGTATGACCACTGTCTTTCATTTATTTATAAGCTATTGAAAGAAAAGTGTTGGAGAACCAGAAGTGTTATTGAGTCTTGCATAAAATCTTATATTACTTTATGACTAATCTTTAGCTGAGGAGTGTGATTAATTAGGGTTGATAGAATAGACAAATACAACAGGAACTTGTGAATGTACTTCAGGTACATGCCTCGTGATGGAATAATACCCCTCACAGAGATTTGGCCTGGAAGTGAAGTTAGAACCCTCCGTACCGGCCACGTCACTGCCTATCTTTTCAATCACCAGGTATTTCGGTAAGTACCAACCACTTAGTTCTTAAAAGATTATGAATAAAATTGCAGTAGTATACCTTTCTTGCCATTTAGTATTCTTTTTTAAAACTTTACTGGCTGTCTCCCACAAAGGTTGGTTGACGTAAAAAAGACACATGTTCATTGTCATTTCTGAAATAGCTGTCTTTCCAGAATTGCATTAACATCATGCCTTAAATGATCCTATGAACTGCAACATCTCCATCTCTTCAGAGTACAGCCGCAGTACTTTCTACCACCAGGACTGAGGCCCAGCTAACCAATTTTCCTGAATTCTTTTCTATTATTATGTTTTTTAACTCATCAGTTATCTCCAGCCAAGGTGACCCAAAGAAAATACAGTCACCATTATTCATACAATAGCCATCTTTTTAGAAGTGTGCTGACATCATAGTCAGATTACTCTCTGACTGTGACATCCCCACCCATCCATAAGGATGTGGGCACTGCCTTGCCTACCTCCAGGACTCAAGTCTAGCTAATTGGTTTTATCCCTTCATAAAAGTTACTTGACTCACACTCCAACAGTGTCTCCGTAAAAAACACTTTTCTCTGTTCACTCCTATCTAAAATGCTCACACAAATATGTTGGATACTCAAGTTCCTAAAACTCAAAGCTTCTTTTATTCCTCCCTCCAACCATTTTTGGGATGACCTCTATCCTTCCTACAATTATCAACAATGATTGATGATTAGATGGGTAGGGATGTTGCAATTGGAGGATAATCTGAATTGTTAATGTCAGCACACTTCTGGTAAGACAAAGATTGAATGAATGATGGAGAATGCATTTCGTATTGGGTCACCCTACCCTGATGGGAGATGGCTGTTTAAGTATAATAATAATAATAATAATAATAATAATAATAATAATAATAATAATAATAATAATAAAGGAAGAAAGGTGAAAGTGAACATAGATAAGAGTAAGGTGATGAGAGTATCAAATGAGTTAGGTAAAGAAAATTGGGTGGGCTTATGAAGGATGAGGTTAACCATAGAATTCGTGAAGGAAAAAAGGTGAGTGGTGCATTAAGGTATCTGTGGAGACAAAAAAAGTTATTCATGGAGGCAAGGAAGGGAATATATGAGAGTATGGTGGTACCAACACTCTTATATGGGTGTGAAACATGAGCTGTAAATGCTGCAGCAAGGAGGAGGCTGGAGGCAGTGAAGATGTTGTGCCTAAGGGCAATGTGTGGTGTAAATAATAATTTCAGAGAATTTGTAGTATGGAAATTAGGAGGTGTGGAGGTATGAAAAGTATTATTCAGAGGGCTGAAGAGAGGTTGATGAGGTGGTTTGGTCAGAGAGGATGGAGCAAAATAGGAAGACTTAGAGGGTACTGTATAAATCTGTAGTGGAGGGAAGGAGGGGTAGGGCTTGTCCTAGGAAAGGATGGGGGGAGGGGGTAAAAGAGGTTTTGTGTACAAGGGGTATGGACATGCAACAGGCATGTGAGAGAGTGTTAGGTAGGAGTGAATGGAGACGAATGGTTTTTGGGACCTGACAGGCTGTTGGAGTGTGAGCAGGATAATATTTTGTAAAGGGATTCAGGGAAACCTGTTAGCTGGACTTGAGTCCTGGAAATGGGAAGTACAGTGCCTGCACTTTAAAGGAGGGGATTGGGATACAGGTTGACCATCACTAATCTGGCATCATCGGGACCTGTAAGGTGCCAGATTAGTGATTTTGCCGGATTACACAGTGGGTAGGTTAGAATACACTTAACCCAACGGCACTATTTACCCATAGGCGATTTCGCCCAATTTATGCCCTATTTTTGGCCCATTCCATTGTTCCAGTCTACCAAATTCATAGCTATTTCGCTAGTGTTCCTTCTATTCTGTCGATTTAGTACAAGAAACTGCTCGTTTTACCTATTTCAACTACCCAAAAAGTGGTCAGAAATTGGTAATTTGGCCAATTTCACACAAATTTCAAGAGATGCTAATTTCAAAATAGGGTCCGGAATAAACAGTGTGGACATTCCTGGCACTAAAACAACATTTTCTCTGTTCATTAGTCACATCTCCAGACCCCTCTTGTATTACACTTGCTTTCCATTTTGAAGTTTTATTCTCACAAAAAATAGAAGATTTACTGTTATGCAGACTAATGCATTATTGTAACAATTATATAAATACAGTGGACCCCCAGTTCGCGATATTAATCCGTTCCTGAGAGCTCATCGTAAACCAAAATTATCGGAAAGTGAATCAATTTTCCCCATAAGAAATAATGGAAATCAAATTAATCCGTGCAAGACACCCAAAAGTATGAAAAAAAAACTTTTAACACATGAAATATTAAGTTTAATGCAGTAGAATAATTACAATAACAACAATAATAATAGAATAATAACAATAGAATAATTGACACTTACCTTTAATGAAGATCTGGTGGTGATTGATAGGATGGGAGGAGGGGAGAGTGTTGAACCTATTGTTTAGAAGGGGAATCCCCCTCCATTAGGACTTGAGGTAGCTTTTCCTCCTGAGTAATGTAGGTCCTGCTTGGCAATTTCTTCCAAAACAGGCCTGTTTCGTCACAATTAAACACTTATTCAGGTTTCAATCCTTCAGCCTCTATGTACTCCTTGAATTCATGCACATATTTTTCAGCCGCTTTGTGGTCTGAACTGGCAGCCTCACCATGCCTAATCACACTATGTATGCCACTATGATTCTTAAATCTTTCAAACCAACCTTTGCTGGCCTTAAATTCACTCACATCACCACTAGTTGCAGGCAATTTCTTTACAAAGTCGTCATGCAACTGCCTAGCCTTTTCACAAATGATCGCTTGAGAGATGCTATCTCCTGCTATCTGTTTTTCATTTATCCACACCAATAACAGTCTCTCAACATTTTCTAACACTTGCGGTCGCTGTTTCGTAATCACAGTTGCACCTTTTGCAAGAACAGCTTCCTTGATTGCCATTTTCCTGCTCACTATAGTAGAGATGGTTGATTGGGGTTTACTATACAACCTGACCAGCTCCGACACACGCACTCCACTTTCGTACTTTGCAATTATCTCTTTCTTCATTTCAATAGTCATTAGCACCCTTGGTCTCGAAGGGTTGGCACTAGAAGCTTTCTTGGGGCCCATGGTGACTTATGTTGCAGAAACAAGCACCAAAAACAGTGATAATATGGATAATATGGAATGTACTGAATGTATCCTTAGATGCACGCACACTGGCTGGCTTGTAAACACTGGTACACACGGGAGAGTTCAGGCCACACGTGGACACGTCTCGTACGAATTGCATCGCATACCTGGTTTTGTAACGGGAACCGAGGCAAATTTTTGGCAATATAATGCATCGGTTCCCAGATTTATCGGATACCGATAGCATCGCGAACCGGGGGTCCACTGTAATGTCAACCCATTCGTAACCGTGTATTAGACCAGCCAGTTGGACATGTATTGGACGGTCATTTGTTTACTCTTGAACATCGGCAACAATCAAACATTTCCACTAGTTTGAGCTCAATTTCAAGGTACTTTCTATCCTAAAATCAATCAAAATCATATCTATTTCTGTAATATATCTTCCATTCTATCAAATGAGACCAAAGAAAATAAGAATACAACCATAAGAACCATACAAAAATACAGTGCAAAGTTGCTATTTTACACCAAAAACATGGTCACGGTTTTTTCCTCATTATGCATTGCATGCTGCAGGATTTATTTATATATTGCACACTTACCACACAAACCAGTTCTCTCTTATGTGGGCCCAAATTTACCGGCCACAGCTTATCTGAGTGAGTTGAGATCATGGTGACTGACAGTATATGTGCTTTACAATATACAGTATATGTGCTTTACACGAGAAGCATTTCTTTTATTTGTCGGAACCGTGTATAGGGATAAAAGTGAGCAGGTTATAACAAATGAAGAAAAGCAAATTGGAATGACTTATGCAGCAAGTAGTGCCACCAAACAGTAGTGGCAGGTTAGTGTGGCGACCCCAAAAATTTGAAATTTGGCTAGCTGAAATTAGTGCCGGATTATTGATGTCCGACCTGTATTGGCAGTTTGGAGGGACATCTAAACTGTCGCATCTGAGTGCCACTGCAAAGACAGTGATTATGTATGAGTGATGGTGAAAATGTTGAATGATAATGAAAAGTTTTTTCTTTGTTTTGAGGTTTTTCTTTCTTTTTTGGTCACCCTGTGTCTGTGGGAAACTGCCGATGTGTTAAAAAAAAAATTAGGTTTGTATTTGTAGATGTTAAATTACTCTGTCATTAACCTCAAGAGTAAGTCTATAATAAATTTAAATTGCCTGATCATGCTGCTGATGTTAAAAGAGCATGTCTTTCTCTCCACAGAGTCACCTACAGTAGTTTGCAGTCAGTAATTTTTTATTCTCACTAGTTGAACCATTCAACTTATTTTTTTTTTTTTTTTTTTTCAACAAGTCGGCCGATTCCCACCGAGGCAGGGTGACCCAAAAAAGAAAGAAAATCCCCAAAAAGAAAATACATTCATCATCATTCAACACTTTCACCACACTCACACATTATCACTGCTTTTGCAGAGGTGCTCAGAATACAACAGTTTAGAAGCATATACGTATAAAGATACACAACATATCCCTCCAAACTGCCAATATCCCAAACCCCTCCTTTAAAGTGCAGGCATTGTACTTCCCATTTCCAGGACTCAAGTCCGACTATATGAAAATAACCGGTTTCCCTGAATCCCTTCACTAAATATTACCCTGCTCACACTCCAACAGATCGTCAGGTCCCAAGTATCATTCGTCTCCATTCACTCCTATCTAATACGCTCATGCACGCTTGCTGGAAATCCAAGCCCCTCGCCCACAAAACCTCCTTTACCCCCTCTTTCCAACCCTTTCGAGGACGACCCCTACCCCTCCTTCCTTCCCCTATAGATTTATATGCTTTCCATGTCATTCTACTTTGATCCATTCTCTCTAAATGACCAAACCACCTCAACAACCCTCTTCTGCCCTCTGACTAATGCTTTTATTAACTCCACACCTTCTCCTAATTTCCACACTCCGAATTTTCTGCATAATATTTACACCACACATTGCCCTTAGACAGGACATCTCCACTGCCTCCAACCGTCTCCTCGCTGCTGCATTTACCACCCAAGCTTCACACCCATATAAGAGTGTTGGTACTACTATACTTTCATACATTCCCTTCTTTGCCTCCATAGATAACGTTTTTTGACTCCACATATACCTCAACGCACCATTCACCTTTTTTCCCTCATCAATTCTGATTAACCTCATCCTTCATAAATCCATCCTCCGACACGTCAACTCCCAAGTATCTGAAAACATTCACTTCTTCCATACTCCTCCTCCCCAATTTGATATCCAATTTTTCTTTATCTAAATCATTTGATACCCTCATCACCTTACTCTTTTCTATGTTCACTTTCAACTTTCTACCTTTACACACATTCTCAAACTCATCCACTAGCCTTTGTAATTTTTCTTTAGAATCTCCCATAAGCACAGTATCATCAGCAAAAAGTAACTGTGTCAATTCCCATTTTGAATTTGATTCTTCATAATTTAATCCCATCCCTCTCCTGAACACCCTAGCATTTACTTCTTTTACAACCCCATTTATAAATATATTAACCCTTTGAGGGTTTTCGTCGTACTAGTACGTCTTACGCGTAGGGGTTTTTGACGTACTAGTACTCATAAATTCTAGCGACCTCAAATCTAGTGGGAGAAAGCTGGTAGGCCTTCATATGAAAGAATGGGTCTATGTGGTCAGTGTGCACAGTCTAAAAAAAATCCTGCAGCACACGGTGCATAATGAGAAAAAAAAAACTTTTTCCATTTTTTTTTAATAAATCAGCGACTTTGCAGTGTATTTTCGTATAGTATTTATTGTTGTATTCTAGTTTTCTTGGTCTCATTTTATAGAATGGAAGACATATTACTGAAATTGAGATGATTTTGACTGGTTTTACAATGAAAGGTGCCTTGAAATTGAGCTCAAAGTAGCAGAAATGTTCGATTTTTACCAAACTTCAAAAGTAAACAAATCGTGCCAAGCGTGCAATACACGTCAACTGGTGAGTCTAATATTCTTTCACAAGTGCACCAATAATATTTATACCATTTTTTACACTAATGCAGTAGTCTGCATAACAGTAAATCTTATATTTTTTGTGAGAATAAAAATTCAAAGTGGAAAGCAAAAGAATATAAGAGGGGCCTTGAGACGTGACTAATGACTAGAGGAAATGTCATTTTAGTGCCAGGAATGTCTTTCTTGTTTATTCTGGACCCTATTCCGAAATTGGCATCTTTTGAAATTTGTGTGAAATTGGCAAAATTGCTAAATTCTGACCACTGTACTGGATAGTTGAATTTATAAATGGGTGGTTTTCTTGCACCCATTCGATAGAAAAAATGGAGTTCTAGCGAAATATTCATGTTTTTTGTCGACTAGTACAGTGAAATTGGCCGAAAATGGGGCTCAAAGTGGGCAAAATCGCCGATGCGTAAACATCGCCGAGACCGCTAACTTTGCGAGAGCATAATTCCTTAAGTTTTTTATCAAATTTCAAACTTTTGGTGTCGTTATGATCGGGAAAAGATTCTCTATCTTTTCATAAGAGAAAATAATTTTTTTTTTTTTTTAAATTTGGCCGACCCTGAGAACGAGTTTCGGAGAGGGCCTGTCGACCCTCAAAGGGATAAACAACCATGGTAACATAACACATCCCTGTCTAAGACCTACTTTTACCGGGAAGTATTCTCCCTCTCTTCTACACACCCTATCCTGAGCCTCACTATCCTCATAAAAGCTCTTTACAGCATTTAGTAACTTACCACCTATTCCATATACTTGCAACATCTGCCACATTGCTCCTCTATCCACTCTATCATATGCCTTTTCTAAATCCATAAATGCAATAAAAACTTCCCTACCTTTATCTAAATACTGTTCACATATATGCTTCAATGTAAACACTTGATCTACACATCCCCTACCCACTCTGAAGCCTCCCAGCTCATCCGCAATCCTACATTCTGTCTTACTTCTAATTCTTTCAATTATAACCCTACCGTATACTTTTCCTGGTATACTCAGTAAACTTATTCCTCTATAATTTTTACATTCTCTTTTGTCCCCTTTCCCTTTATATAAAGGGACTATACATGCTCTCCACCAATCCCTAGGTACCTTCCCCTCTTTCATACATTTATTAAATAAAAGTACCAACCACTCCAACACTATATCCCCCCCTGCTTTTAACATTTCTGTCATGATCCCATCAGTTCCAGCTGCTTTACCCCCTTTCATTCTACGTAATGCCTCACGTACCTCCACCACACTTACATTCTGCTCTTCTTCACTCCTAAAAGATGGTATACCTCCCTGGCCAGTGCATGAAATTACCGCCTCCCTTTCTTCCTCAACATTTAAAAGTTCCTCAAAATATTCTCGCCATCTACCTAATACCTCCCTCTCCCCATCTACTAACTCCCCTACTCTGTTTTTAACTGACAAATCCGTACTTTCCCTAGGCTTTCTTAACTTGTTTAACTCACTCCAAAATTTTTTCTTATTTTCATTAAAATTTCTTGACAGTGCCTCTCCCACTCTATCATCTGCTCTCCTTTTGCACTCTCTCACCACTCTCTTCACCTTTCTTTTACTCTCCATATACTCTGCTCTTCTTATAACACTTCTGCTTTGTAAAAACCTCTCATAAGCTACCTTTTTCTCTTTTATCACACCCTTTACTTCATCATTCCACCAGTCACTCCTCTTTCCTCCTGCCCCCCACCCTCCTATAACCACAAACTTCTGCCCCACATTCTAATACTGCATTTTTAAAACTATTCCAACCCTCTTCAACCCCCCCCCACTACCCATCTTTGCACTAGCCCACCTTTCTGCCAATAGTCGCTTATATCTCACCCGAACTTCCTCCTCCCTTAGTTTATACACTTTCACCTCCCTCTTACTTGTTGTTGCCACCTTCCTCTTTTCCTATCTACCTCTTACACTAACTGTAGCTACAACTAAATAATGATCCGATATATCAGTTGCCCCTCTATAAACATGTACTTATTACCTACATTAAACTGCAAAGAATAGCTCATTATAACCATTATTTTTTCTTTTCAGGAAGGCTATCAAAGATTCCTTTGATAAGGTTATAACAAAATACTACAGTTGAAGTCTGGAACATTGCCTGTGTTAGCTATAGCATTTACTCTGGTTAAATAATTAGTGTAAAATCACTGCACTGCCATTTTGTCATAATACCTTCTTAAAATTCATTAAATTGACTAGAATAATTATACAAGTTTTCTGCATTCACCAGCCATAGTAGTAACCATCTTACCAGTGCATACAAAATGTAATGAAATTGGTATAGGAATTGATTTTCAAAGCCAGTAAAAATAGTTACACAAGTTAATGCAAGAGTTTTTTACAAAAACTCAGATAATTAGCTAATTAAAATTTTCTCTTATTGGTCACAGTACATTCTTTGGAATTTACTTTGCCTGTGAATGACTCTTGTATCTCATAAATACAAAAGTTATAGAGACTTCTTCACAGAGGCAAGTAGAGTAAAAATGCCTGTAACATCCACCGTTAAGTAGGACCTACACGTGCACCTCTAAATGACCCTTGTGGGTTTAGTGCTTTTATGAATACAAATTATGTAATTGTTTTAGTTACTAATGTCAGTACTCTTCCAATTTTGCTACTTTTATACTAAAGCCAGACATTTAAAAGCATAGAAAGTCATGATGGTGTCATCATTGTAGGTAGAAGTGTACTCTTCTTCTTTCAACAAACCAGCTGCATCCCACTGAGGCAGGGTGGCCCAAAAAGAAAAACAAAAGTTTCTCTTCATAACTTTAGTAATGTATACAAGAGAAGGGGTTAGAAGCCCCTTGCTCCTGGCATTTTAATCACCTCTTACGACACGCGTGGCTTATGGAGGAAAAATTCTGTTCCACTTCCCATGGAGAAATAGTGTTCTCATCTGAAGAAAATTATTCTTGATAAAATGGTTACTTTTTTTTATAAACAAGCTTAAGATAATATATCTCCATAGGCTGGAGCTTTTCACTTTTTTTTTTTTTTGTCATATGAAGCTTGCAAAAAATTGAAAATGAAGTTTCATGCATCAAACAGCTTTATTTCAAATTGTATGACATTTTTAGCACGATTCTTAGTATAGTTGTACAACTGGGAATTTCATTGGTGTTTATAGCATTTAGCAAAATTTTGGATATGCTTTTAAGAATTTTTATGAGTGTGCAA